TTTGTGGCTCCGTAAAAGTTAACATCCACAATAAAAATAAAGATGAAAATGAACTTTTGCCATTTCATGCCAGCCACTACTACTCATGATGTAAACTGTCATAAGATTACTTCACGATCAGGTCTCATATCTCCTACACGTTTGTGGCTCCGTACAAGTAAACATCCACTTCTCTCGGTTTTCTTTCCCTGTGCCTTCTCTGATGCTTGCCCGCCCACCAACTTAAGTTTCTTTGTCTGTATGTTTCTAGCTTCAATCTTTGCAAGACCTGCTAACCCAGTGATTTTTTTTTTGATGCGAGCAAAGCTGAACTGGTCCTTGTTGCCATTTTACCCAACTTCCGGAATGCTTGTCGAAATGCCTTGATATACACCACTACATCCCGTAAATACCTACACCACATCCCAACATGCTTTTAAGGAAGGCTACTGTCCGGGACTGAAAGTGTCCTTTGGACCCTCATCTTAGGCAGAACCTTTGAGACGCCCCAGCAAAATGTCACTTGTGCAATGATGAATGAAGAATACACAACAACCTTGGCGTTGAGTAATGGGTGCTAGTCTTTCTGATCCTGCCTCACTTTCCTACACCACATCCCAACATGCTTTTAAGGCAGGCTACTGTCTGGGCGTCCTTTGGACCCTCATTTAGGCAGAACCTTTGAGATGCCCCAGCAAAATGTCACTTGTGCAATAATGAAGGAAGAATACACAACAACCTCGGTGTTGAGTAATGGGTGCTAGTCTTTCTGATCCTGCCTCACTTGTGTCTGTACGAGGAGGGACTGGTTGTTGGATGTGGATCTTGTGGTTGATCTTTATGATGTTATTGCGAACTGCAGATAATTGACGATGCAGATCTGGAAGAGTTAAAGGAATTGGGGTCGGGAACATTTGGAACAGTCTATCATGGGAAGTGGAAGGGTACAGACGTGGCAATCAAGAGGATCAAGATCAGCTGTCTCAACGAGCAGCGTGTGGTACGTATAATGCTGAAGTTACTGGATTCAAATGAAGTAGAATGATCTTGGGGTTTTCTATTTGTTACTCTGACTGTGGTTATGTTAATTGTGGTCACTTTTGTCCGTAGTTTAGTTCATATTTATTTAATCTCATATATGTCTGAGGATCCTTTTTTGCCTCGATTTATGTGCTAGAATCTCCAATTCCTCTCAACCGTAGCAAGGCCGGAAATTACCTCAGGATTGAGGAATGCAAGTGGTGATTGAGATAGCAGGTAGTAGAGGTTTGAACGGCATTATTGTACAAGCTTGCCACTCTGTGTGGTTGGCCATCCTAATCAAGGTGAGCATGGTTAACAATGGTGTGCAAGAGCTGAAGATGTACTGTGTCGGGAGAACAGGTCATAGAGGTATGAATGACGTTATCGTCCAAGCTTGCCACTCTGTGGGAATGACCATCCTAATCGAGGTGGCCAGGGTTAACGACCGTGTGCAAGAGCTGAAGCGGAATCTCAATTCCTGTCAGCATCTCTCTGAGATGTCCGAGAGAGGGAGTTAAAGTAGGTCTCGAACAAGCTCCCCCACACACAGAAACCTCCACACAAACGGAGTCCTCTAGACCATGGAATAATGAACAGCTGTTGATATGAAGGCTCTTTGCAGGCTCTGTAACTAAGGGGTTAAACTTGCACATTTGTGGAGAATATCTACACAGTAATGAGCCTGGGGCTCATGCATCCAACAACAGCGCAAGTTAGTCCAAGTTGCGCACTTTCACTCCAGAACACAAAGGAAGCAAAACGATGCGATATGGAACTTGAGCTGTCTTGCAATCATTTACGGAGGCCACTGCTATCTGGTAACTGCTATCTCCTGCCCTTTGCGAAGACTAAACAAGTAATTATACAACTGGCTGGGTGGTTGAGGATGGCGCTGTTCCCTCTAAGACTTCTCCCCTTACTATCTCTCGGTATGAGGAGGTGCTGTCCGTTTGAATGAGCATTGGCTCGATGTCAAGAGCTTTTCGCGAAAAGGAGGGTTTCGTTTCCCCTGCTAAGTGATTCTGGACTGGTTCGGGGAGGGCCCTCTGGTAAATCATCAGGGACTGTGCATGGGAGATTGTGATCCCCATCGCCTGGAGGTTCTCCAATTTTTCACTCGTGTACGAAGAGATAGATGGCCCTGGGATGCTCTGGGCCCTATTTGCGTGGGAAGCGGTCACCTAGTCCTCATGCTAAACATTACCCAGCCCTAGACTTCTAGCTAATCACCGAGTCCTGTTTTTGTACCTCATTGATTACCCTGGGCGTTGCATCTACTCCCAGGCACAAGCTAGTGACCATCACCCGTGGGGTAGGGGGAATCTTCCGCACTGATACGTTCTGGCCCCGGCTAGCCATGTGGGCAGGGCCTCATCCTTCTTTCCCATGAGACCTACTGGGCATCCGCATCTTGGTCTTCCCTACTTAGGACGATTCCTTATGGGCTCTATCTGATGGGGTGGAATCCCCATCAATACCACCGTCATCCTCCTTTCTTCTTTCTCTTCTGTATTGGTGGTCGGGTCTCCTTCTTTGCTTGGTTTTGTATCTGCATGATCGGGTCTACCTGGTTGGTCTGATTGGTCGGGTCGTCTTGCCACTTCTGTAATGGTCGGGTCTCCTTCCTTGCTTGGTCTGATCTGCATGGGTTTCCCTACCCCAAACCACCAGCAAGTCCACGCCATTTTTCCGATGCCGATTTGAGCTGCGAGCCAGTATAAAACGGTCTTGCTTGGGTGTGAAATAGCATCTTTTTGGGTGTCATGAGTCCTTTCACTTCGGTAGGCCGAGCCCCCAGGGACGCAGGGTGTCAACTGCTGTGTTGGGAACTATACTGGTGGTGTAAGTTCCCTGATCTCTTTCTGAATTTCCTGCAGGACTATCACCAAGTTACCCTTGCATTGTGCAACTGATTGTTCCTCTATTGTTTTCAGCACTGCCTGCACTACAGCCTTTACATCATAGCGTGTCCTGCAGGACGGTCACTAAGTTACCATCACATTGCACAACTGATCCTTCCCCTCAATTGCTGTCAGCACTGCCTTCACTATTGCCTTTAGATCGCTGGTCTCTTCTTCAACCATTTTTCTAAGGGCAGTTCTTAAGGTCTTGGCAAATTCCCCTCTCGCTGCTTTCCAATGCTGTCTCCAGGTTCTCTATATTGCTGAATGCTCCCGTAACTGCTGCTTGTCTCGCTCTGATTTCTCCTTCTTTTCTTCTCTACTGCAGCCAGCTCTTTCTCGATGTGCCTGGAATTGCATCATCCATGTCCTTCCCATCCTGGTAAGTGTCTTTCCCAATGTTGAAGGCCTCTTTCCTGGATGGCCTAAGA